CGCGGCGCAAACGATCTCAAAGCACACGTTCATAACAAATACAAATATCTTACTGCACAAGAGATAACTAAACGCATGGAAAAAAAAAAAAAAAAAAAAAAGGCACAAGACATTTTCAATGAGCATTACATTCCAATGGTGCTGCGACAAATAGAATGGCTAGAATTCTTTATTTCCATCCAGCTAACTAAAGTAATTAGTCTGCTTATCAAAATTGAGGACTATAATGTTAGTCCTGGCCTTTCTACGCCGCTTGCGAGGACGTTGCTCTTTCCTGCTATCGTCCTCCGCTTCAACTTGAACCCCCTGCTCTGCTGTCTTTCGATCCACTTGAGTGCCTTCATCCTTGTAAATTGTATCCCGCTCACGTTTCAGGGCACTGCAAAGCTCCTCGATTTTCAGCTGAGCTGCGATGAGCCGAGCCTCATAATCCTCGTCCGTGCCACCCTGATCCTGCGGCGAATCATCATCTTCCTCGAGGGGCTGAGTCGCATAATCCTCGCCCGTGCCACATTGACCCTGTGGCAAATCGTCATCATCTTCTTCGTCAGGTTGTGATGCTGGCACATATTCAGGCTTCGCCAATGCACGCTTGCCTAGTGCCACGTCCGAAGGAAAAGTCGGAGACCAATCTTCCTTCGGTACCTGTGTAAAAGGTACCATCTCCTCCGACAATACCCCCACTGGCTTCGCCGTCGAAGTGGATTCCTCCTCCTGCTGTCTTTTCAGCGCAGCAAGGCGCTTAGCTTCACGCAAGTCGATGATAGGACGAAGATGGGACATAATGAAAAATATTGTGAAAATTTGTAGGAAAGTGTTTGTGTTGGGCAGATGAATGAGAAAGAAAGAATGAGGAATCAACCTCGTTCATCTCTCACCTTGGACATCCATCCATCACTCATTCCCATCCGCATCATCTCATTGGTCCATGGGACATCAGATGATCTCACAATTTTGATCAGATGGTCTTGACTGTATGATGTCACGAAAAAAAAAAAAAAAAACTCATGCACAATCAACCTAATCTACGCGATTCAAAATCTCTGCAGTACAACTCACTCTGCCTCATATGCCATACAAAATCCTAGAACTCGTGCCTCGTTCTCCAAGGGGAGGGGGAGCTGTCGCATATTTCACCAAAGTTCACTGTATATTTAGTTTAACAAGTGTATCTTCAGCTCACTATTATATTTAATACAAATAAATACCTAATCGGTGTGGTGTGTGGAGCCACATCTCTTTCTCACTTAATTCTGAACCCCAAAATATCTCAGTCCTTGAAAAATCTCTTTGATACTCCCGCGGTGTGCTTGGAGTCGTTACCCTGCTGGAAAATCATATCCTGTGGCCGAATTCCATACCACTCTTGCGTCAATGGAACACACTCCTCAAGGATCTCGACATACAATTCAGCATCCATTCTTCCATGGATTTATGAGATGAAACCTGGCCCTGAATAGGTCATGCAACCCCACATAAAGAGATGGCCTCCTCCGAACTTGAGTGTTTCATCCACGAGCCGGTCTTGTGCACCGACTTTTGTGTTTTTCCAAACCCAGACCTTGCCATCTGAACCGTATCGGTTGATCCTGGTTTCATCTGTCCAAAGGACCCGTTTCCAGTCATCGATTGTCCAATGCTCATACATAATAGAATTGACCAAGGTGGACGCGGGCAATCGTCTACTTGGGACGGGCAAGCAACGTTAACCCAGTTATGCTTTCCGTGTGGAGACGCGACGTGATTTGGGCTCGCGTAGCAGACGCGGGGTAATCACAAGCCACTAGGGTCAATTGAAGGGAGCGCTAGTCTGTCCTCAACCTTAATTCGTGACACCACCCCATCCTTTGGTGCTACCTCGCAATTTCCCCCCAACTATTTCTCAAACACCACCCAAGTGTCGCATCCCTCCCAGCTTGCTGCCAACTCTTCCCCCCCTTCGACTACCACGCAGTCCACTCTGGGCTCTGCCCTCCCATCGCGCAACACCCCCAAGTACGCTTTTCCTCAGCCAGCCAACCCTCAGGGTTCTCCTGCCTATCAGTTCTCGCACTCGTCTTCCACTAGTGCTGTCCATGCTTCCCTCCTACCGCCCTTTACGTCCCCCGCAGTTCCACCCTCTTCCACTCGCGCCTCTCCTCAAAGAGAGTCGGCCTCGGCGAGTAGGAAACGCGCCAACCTCAGCCACACTATCTGGGGTAAGCAGCCTTCCGAAGCGTCCGAGTCCGAGCAGGAAATCGAATCCCATGCTCCAAGGCGTGTTGCCCTGGACAAGTCCCGCAAGGACCAGTCTTCGTCCCTAGACCTCCTGGACGCGCACGACGATTACTACATTCTCGAGCGGCGTTTCCACAAGCAAGCCGCCACTGTCAAGGCCCTCGAGGCTGAGAAGTCTGCCATGCAGAGTCGCCTGTCTCAGGCCGAGACGGATAACTCTGCTATGCGCGCTGAGATTGCTGACATACGCGCTCAGCTTGCTGAATTCCTCGCTCTCGTCCGTGTCGCACCTACTGCTGCACCTACCCCTGTTCCGGCTGCTGCTTCTGCTTCCGCCGCTCCTGCCCGCCCCCAGCCTCAAGCCAGAGCTGGACCCTCTGTTGCCGTTGCCGCCGCTGCTGCTGCTCCTGCCGCTGCTGCTGGTTCGCCCTCCGGCTATCTTGCTGCTGCGCGCTGTGGACTTTCCGCCGCTCAGTTGGAAGTCATCCGCGGCATGAAGCCCGCTCCCCGCCCATTCCGAGCTCGTGCTCCTGCTGGTGTCACTCCAGCTGCCTCTTCTCTCGTCCGACTGTACTTTGGGAATGTGCAGTCGTGCCCTCTTGGCCAGTTCAAGGCCACCTTTCGTGCGTTGCGCATCCGCACCTCGGCTATTGCCAATATTGCCTTTGTGGGCAAGGCCATCGTCGAGTTGATGGTGGATGTCGCATGCCACGACACGATCGATCGATACTTGGCAAGTGATCGGTCGACTCTTGGCAACGCGCACGACCGTTACATGAAGGCAATGAGAAACATATATATATATCCCATAGTTCTGTACCTTTTATTCCTTATCTAGCAACTTCAATATATCCTACGCTTCCTTTGATCTTGTTTCCTAAACCACACACCCCTCTCCTTGTTCTATCTTGCCGTGTTTAAGAAGGTCATTTTGACTCTGACTAAGCATAGATTCATGACAGTGGAGTCGCATTACCGTGCTTCACTCATTGCAAAGATGCAGGAATTTACATTCTGTCATCTTCCCAACTACAGTAGTAGCGCTGTACATTGCGCGCCTAACATTCCTATTGGCACTGCTACGCGATTATCACCTGGTGCTGGCCCTTTGTATGCATATATATGCATCAAATGAACCTGTGGAGAAGATAAATAAGAGGAAAAGAATGATTCTTTATTCAGCTGAATTCCTCCTAGCTGTGCTTCCTCATTAATTTTGGCAAATGCTCCAACCGTTTTCATGGGCTTATAGCCCTCCCTTGCCGGTTGGCTGCCTTGGTCTACAGACTCCTTTTTCTTCTTCTGGTCGTTCTGCCAATGGAAACACTTGTCCAGCGGGTGCTTGAGCCTCAGCGTCTTACACTTCTCGGAATACGTACAGACCTTCGAATCTGTCTTGTGTTTCTTTTGACTTCGTTCACGACCATGGTCCTCATTCGAGTTCGACCTCTTGTTCTGCAAATGAACAGCTGCCTTGTCCTCATTCTCAGTTCTTGTCTTGCCTTGCGTGCGCTCTGCTGCTTGAGCACCGACCTTGTCGCCATACTTCTTGATGAACCACAATGCGTGGTCAGTCCTTGTTCTGTCTAACGCACCTGGCGTATCAACTAGAAACTTGAGGTATGACTTGGTTGACTTGATCTTGTCGAACGAACCGTACTCCTTCACAGTGGCCTGGAAGCCAATGTCCGATAGGTGATTGCACAGTGCCATAACCAAGAGGGCACAACCATCATCCGGAAACTCTGCGGCCTCGAGTAGTGGTCGTAGACGTTGGGAGAAAGCCAGAAGACTCTCATCAGCGAGATGAGCCTCTAGCAGCTCGAACTTGAAGGCCTTGTTGAGACAAGTAACGACCTGACTCCACGTTCTCTCTGCATAGAAAACTCCATGATGAGATCCGTGTAGTCCTTAGCTAGGCCACTGACCTTGATCAGAGCGCTAGCCATGTAGTCCCATGCCATCTTGTCAAATAAGACGACCGTGAGATTCCATTCGTAGAATTACTCTGAAATTCACGACTCTTGTGGCGATCTCCTTAATCATATCTTCTACAGGCACCTTGGATACATCCAGATCTAAGACAGGAGCACCAGTGAATGCCTTCTTCTTGACCTTTGAGTAATCAATCTCATCAGAGTCGTCCAGGAGTGGAATGTTGTCCTCTTTGAAGATACGATGGAGCGCATCGTGCTCTGGAATCGACGGGTTCCACTTGACGGTAATTCGATTGCCCTTTGGCTCTTGTACCTTGACGATCTTGCTCTCAACGTATCCATATGCTGCCTTGAGAGCGTCTTCTAGTTCCTCGATGTCTTTTCGCAAATCATCTACTTCATCCATCAAAGCCTTCAACAATGACTCTTTTTGCTCCATGAGCTTTTGGAGGGCATCGTCTTTAATTGACTTATCAAGCTGAACTCTACGTAGACGCTGCTTAGCATCATTAAACCCCACTAATAGTAGACCCTTTCCACTGGTCTTCTTCACCAGACGATTTTGGTAGGCCTGGAGAAGCTTGAGGAGATCATCTTTCGTGGGGTTGCCCTCATTTCTGATTTCGATCTCTTCCTCCTCCTCGTCTTCCATCGCTAGCATTTGAAGCAACCGGTTCAGGGATTCTACTTCCTTGGAGGTGTCTTGCCGGAGATCGTTCGTATCGATTTCGAAGACTTGACCGACGTCTTGAGGAGCCGGAGACATGCCTTGCTTGGGATCGCCTTGCATGGATGGATGGATGGGTGGATGGTTTGGGAGGATGGATTATGGGATAGCTCTTGAAAGGCCTTGAAAAAAATGTAATGTTTTATGTACTTCAGTGTGAGTCAAGGAGACAAAAGAGCGTTGTTGTTTATTATGCTCCCAGTAGGGGTTTTTATAGCCCCGACCTGGGGTTTGGAGTATTAGATAGTATAATAGTCTCATGAATAAAAATGGAAGTGGCCTAAATATGAAGGTTCACTCCCAGTACAGTCCCAATTTGGGGTCTGGACAAAACAGTTGTACCCTTCAGAACCGAATAGTTTGGACCTCGGAGGATGTTGTGCTGGGCAAGAATCGTACTGAGCCGCTTAGTGAGGATCGTAAACATGATCTTCCTAGCGTGCTCTAGAAGCGTAATCGGTCGGATATCAGCCATGCTACCGGACCATTCTGCTGCCTTTGGGATACAGTAAATTCGTCCAGTGCGCCAATCCTTGGGAACATGACCCTGGGTGACACAACCCGCGACCAGTTGGTGCAAAATGTGCTTTCCGACTTGTCCTTGTTTCTGAAATAGGTCATTTGATAGCCCTGATGCACCCGGCGCCTTGTACTTGGGCGCTTCGTCCAGTGCCTCCTCGAATTCCTCGTACGTTAGTGGGTCCATGAGCGTGGAGTACCACTCCTCGTCGATCCACTCCTTGGGCCGATACTTTTGTTCCCATCTGAACCCAGGCTCCAAAGGCTGTGCAGAGCGAGGCCCATGCCACTTGATGAACAAGGAGTGAATGGATGATTTGAAAAGGAAAAAAGGCGTGGGTCTGGTCACGTGAAGAAGATCTCAGCATCGCAAATGATATACAGAATATATTTTATCGCAAATCATATACAGTGTGCGTAGTTGTGCGTTAGACTCCTGTATTCAAATTATTCGACCATTCAGATTGGGAGTTTCCTTACTCTACAACTGTAAATGAACTATCTCCAAGCGCAACAATACAAAGCTACAATCCAGGAACGCTTACTTGAATAATGCTTACCAGATGTGGTAGGGGGAACGAACATAAAAGGATCAAAAAGCAACGTCGCTACGAACGCTTGGCTGCCGCAAGCCAGTTATTATACCTCTTATTCAAACCTTAATAGTGAAGAGTAACGTAGTTGTGCTGTAAGTGACGAAGCGTGACCTTTTTTTTTTTTTCCGCCTCATTGTGATGCAACTAAAGAGGCATTCTTTTTCTAATTTCAACCACGACTATATTCACACCATTCTCTCTTTGCTCTCTTCCCAGTACTTCTCTTTCGTCTATTACCTTGTACTCTTTCCGCTCTCCACCATGACCAAACATCTTACACACCGTCACCATGTGCATCGACTGCACACGTAAGTCACTCTTGTCCTTTACCGATTGCTGCCTCAAGCTGGCCGAATGCAAGGTTCTCTAACATTGTTCCATTATCCTTTCATGCATGGTAGACTTGGTCAATGGATGCCAAAGGACCATCAAGTCCACCGAGATTGGCTTGGTGGAATTATCAAGGACGTTGACGCTTCGAACAAACCTTTGCATCCAGTCATCCAAGAGTTCCAGCAAATGGTTGAGACCAACCCTCGCGTGTACATGCTGCTCGAGTCCATGTTTGAGGAGGTGCCTCACAAGGAGCCATACAATAAGGACCCCACGGGGCGCCCTGAGATCCGCGATTATCGCCACTTCCTGCGTGTGCTCAACCACCTTCTCACCACGGCACCTTCAATGAACGATAAAGCGGAGCGCATGGGTTTGGTTGGTATACCCATCAACGCCCTGCTCGACTGGCCCATGGGCACGCCTAGTGGCTATGCCACATTCCTGGACCCCGATATCAACAACGTGCTCAAGAAGGTGCTCAACGCCTGGGGTGAGTTTCTCAAGTCACCCGAGTCCGCCTATGTCCTCGACGACTCGCCCAACGGCTGGTTTGGCCGATCAGGACAAAAGGACGTTGCAAGCGTCGCCAATGTTGGCGTCAAGACTGGACAGCAGCAACAGCGCCTGACCTTTGAAGAACTGTTTGTCTGCGATCCATCGGCTCCGCACCATGGATATGCCTCGTGGGATGACTATTTTACGCGCCGGTTCCGCGAAGGTGTCCGGCCCGTGGCCTCACCGGACGACGACAACGTGATTGTCAACGCCTGCGAGTCCCAGCCCTTCTGCCTGCAACGAGATGTCAAGGCGCGTAACAAGTTTTGGTTGAAGCACCAGCCATACTCGGTCCTGGACATGCTTGCTCACGACGAGCTCGCTCACCAGTTTGTCGGAGGCACCGTCTATCAGGCATTCCTAAGCGCACTCAGCTATCATCGCTGGCATACCCCCGTGAGCGGTCACATCGTGAAGACCTATGTCGTCGACGGCACATACTACTCGGAGCCCTTGTTTGAAGGCGTCGGCGACCCGACTAAGCAAACTCAGAGGATTGACGTTGCAGCCGAGGATCCCGCCCAGGGATATCTGACTGCCACCGCGACCCGAGCCCTGATCTTCATCCAAGCTGACAATCCAGTCATTGGGCTGATGGCGTTTATTGGCGTCGGTATGGCCGAAGTGTCGACGTGCGATATCACGGTTCAAGAAGGCGATCACGTCAAGAAGGGCGACGAGATTGGCATGTTCCATTTTGGCGGATCAACCTATTGCCTACTCTTCCGCAAGGGTGTCAACGTCACCGGGTTCCCAAGCACAGACAAGGATGATAATGTTCCCGTCAGGAGCCAACTGGCTGTAGTTCATCCTTAAGAGTTAAGAGATGGTGCTTTTAGCTGAGGATAAGAGCTATGTCGTAAAATCGGGTATGTTTGTTGCATTAAATGTCATTAGAGAACTAAGGTTGCGCTATGCAAGGTTGCGATCGATG